TTTACTGTATATATTTATTTATTTTTATATTCTCACAAGTAACGAATTAATTTTGTGGAACAGAGCCTTTTATTATAAGTTTATAGTGACACATCTGATCAAGAATTTCCGTGGCTTTTATGAAACCTTAAAATTCATTACCGTCATCAGAAGAATTTTCCCACAGATCCTGTTTCGGTCCAGTTAAATCCAATTCACCCTCGCACCACATTTCTTTAAATATACCTTCAACTTTATTATTCGATCTAGGCCCTTTATCACCTAAGGGGCCTCTTTATACTAAATTCCCAGCTTCCCTGCTTCTTTATTTTCTTACTCTCATAATACTTTGTGAATAGTGCACATTTCAACATAACTGGGCCTGCGTGCGTTTTACCAAAACATCTCGAAACACAGGGCATTTAGCACGGGATTATTGTTAAAGTGATAACATACGTAAATTTCGCATAATTTTGTTTCAATGTTAACCGAGTTTTTTTGGAATAATTCAACAACTTTCTTCTAGAATTATCGTCACTCATTTACCTTCGCCCGCTAAGAATGTATCCGGAACATTGTGAGATCGTAGTTAACATTACTGAAAGTACCACAAACAAACTCGAATATTGACTACATGTGTGTATTAACTGAGATCTTGCGTGAGTTTTCTCAGACTAAGCCAATGTGGGGCTAATGCATTATAAAGGTAATACACGCAACCTTTCTGTCTTTCCTCAGCTTCACGCTGTCGTCAAGTAATGCAGGAATGACCTAGGAAAAATAAAATAAAATTTGGCCTTTCATCAGTTACCAGATTTCGACGAATAATTTGGAGTATCAGGCTATTCTTTAGGTCCATTTGGAAGACAACTTACACCTACCGTTTCTGTTCGCTTCACAGTTCCGTTCTCTCAGCGGAACACACCCTGAAGCGTGCGAACTGCTGAGAGATGCTCCGATTTGGCGAACGTACTGTATCTTACCGTCTTTAACTTTACCTTCTCGACCTATCGCCTTTATAGCGTGGTGCTTCGCGTACAAGGGCCGGTTTAATTTTACTAAAAAATTAACTGTTATCTGAGTGTATTGTACTTAACGTTAACATTAGATGGCTTAATAAGTTAAATGACTGACTCCTCTAAACACCCAATAAAATGTTGCGCTGTCCTTTAGAAGTTAATAATTGCTCTAGTCAATAAATTCTTCACTATTTATGGATCACGAAGATTTATAAAATTATTCACAATAGCCCACCATTAGATCCAATTTCTGGGCCGGATGAATCCATCCCGCACATTCACACCCTAATTATTCAAGATTCATTTTAATATCCTTTGTTCTTCTCTGCGTAGATCTTCCAGGTGACCTCTTCCTTTCATGTTTTCCGACTGTAATGTTGCATTAACTCCTCAGCGTTCTGTTGCGTGCTGCATATCCTACCTGTCTCCCCCTCTTTTATTTGATCATTTTAATAATCTTTGGTGAAGAATACAGATTATGAAGCTCCTCTTTCAGTAATTTTCTGCAGTCTCAAGTCACTTCTTTCCTCAATGTGCTCGAGGCACTTCGAATGGATTACTCGTACATTACCTAGTTATTGTGTACTATTAAATATGCAAGTATTTGCATTGTAATGTTCCGGTCCCCAGTCAAAGAATTTGTGCTAAATGGATCTCCTTCTGCACAAGGAACTTACTAAAGCTTCTAGTAGTCTCATTGACTTGTATGCGGTAGTGGTGGCAAAGTTCCACGCATTCTTGACCCTGCCGCTCCGTTCCCGTTACTGGCGTTGAAACTCGTGATTGATACTATTTTTGTTTTCCTCCGATTTCAAGGTTCAGACAGTTTGTCAGCCATAGAACTGTCATCAGAGTGTGTAGTTGTGCTACATATTCTTCCCATCTTTACCTCACTTATCAAATTATTAAAATTGTGCAGTTGGAATGCATGATAGTTTATTGGATCCAACTGTATCTATCCACTGCATGACTTCACCTCGTTCATTAACCCTGAGTTTCTAATTCTTTTTGAACACATTTATCCATTATCCAACACAAAACACGTCTTAGTTTTAAAAATGAAGAATCTGTGCCCTTATAGATTTTTACTTCAAAAGAATTGCTGACTTAACTGTAGATCCAATAGCTGCTTTCTGGACGGAGAAGAATATTTCAGCTGTGATCTTACGACATTGGACATTGCTATTACCCTGTTTCCAACTTCTGTGAGTTATAGGGTGCTGTGAGTTAGTGTTTGAATTTCTTGCAACTTTTTCATTATGTTTGTTTGGTTTATGGGTGAATTACCATTGCAGCGAATATAACGTAGTGTATGGAAGGATGCAGCTCAGATATATGTATATTTTTTGTGCTTTTAAAGTGGAGCAGAGCCATGAAAAGTTGATGTTAAGATTCGTTGAGGCTGAAATACAGGATATGAGAATGGAGAATGTCTAAAATTGTTTATGCCTTGTTCACCGTCGGTACGACATACCTTCCAGAATGTTCAACAGCTGATGAAAATCGAAGAAGGAAAGAAAAGAGAGTATGTAGGATTAAAGTATGACTTCAGTAATTGAAATTTGCTGTCGAAAGTTCACGTACGGTAGTAAAGTAACTTTATCTGTATGAAATAAGATAGCTCAGTGAGTAGCTATAGTGTCTGACTACGGACTGGACGAGTGAAGTTCGATCTCCGCCGAAGAGTAAATGCAGAAGTTATGAAATGTGTAAGCAGCGTATGCTGAACTGTTACAAAATTACATTGATCATATAATCAGCTGTTTTCAGACATGGCAAACGGGTTTCTGTAACACAGTGACAAACTTGTAGAGTTTATATTTTATTTTAATTTTAGTGCCGCTAATTATTTCTGTAAAAGTAGTTATTTTCGTACTGCCCAGTGAGAAAGTTCTGTGCATATATATCTTGCAGTTCTTCTTACATTTTAACAATGCTTGTGTAACGTTTGAATCATCTTTCATAACAGAAATGTTTAGCTTGTTGTCGCCCTTGGTTCAGTATTTTCTCTTATTATCGGATTAGGTAATTATTATATTATTATTATTATACCATCTATTCACCACTTTATAGTGTATTTGCTTCTATGTACCCGTGACTAACCTTGCCCCTGAGGTACATAGTGCAGCAGCTATATCAGAAATACATTTTGTTTTTAATATGTATTACATGTATTATATAATTTTATTGTTAGAGATGACTACATATTTTAAGACAGCGTCTTTCGAATGATGTATGAACATCCTAAAATGGCAGTTTTCTGAAGTTCCCTGATGTCGTGTTTGCCCGGAATGTTGGCCTAATATTTTCTGAGTGACTTGATGACTGTTCCAGTAGCCCCTATTTATTATTATTAGCCGTCTGGCTATTGATGCAGCACTCTAATAATAAAGAATTAAATTCAATTGAATTATTATTTCCGGCTTTGATTTGCATACGTGGTGCATGTGGATACGTAATGGATATGAGAATTCTTGTGAGGGGCGTACAATATTAACATGTCTCCTTGGAGGTTTGGTTAACCCTCAGATTTTAATTTACTGCAAGCGTTGAATATTAGACTTATGAAAGTGGACACATGGGGAGAATTCCGTATTTCAGGGTTTTGTAATGTGCACTATTCGCGAAATATTGTTAATTTAGGAAATTGTCCATCCATTGTAGGATGCATATGTTATGGCCTATATATAGGCCCATATCAAACATCCCTGAAACTGGTAATATCTAATACAATAGGCAATTCGTGTAAAAAGCTTTATGAAATCCTTGCAATAATTTTGTTGTAAATTAGGAATAAAACAAAAAGTATGTTGAGGCTCAGTTCTGAGACACTTCAATATATGCTCTTCCGTTGAGTTTAAAGATGAAGTTCACGCCAAGTTAGAAATGGAATTGTTGGAAAGATATTTTAGAAATCTATGGAAAAGGCACGACTAAATTTTACAAGTTTTTTGTTAGCCTTAGCCACAACACCCTCACCTTATTACCGTGCAGTTAATATGACATGCAAACTTGTACACTGGGTAATGATAGGCCTCTGTCTCTCCCCCGGTACTCCATTAGTTACTGATCGTAGATTTTGGTTTTATTGATACTTGTTTCACTATGAAACATCCCACCCCAACCCCCAACCCAGTGTGTCGTTCCCTCCCCTCAACAACCCTTCGGGCCCTTTTACTGTACTTCCGGACGGTGGTGACACATGCTTGTTGAAACACATTACGAGTATTATATCGAGTAGGTGTAGGATAGGTTGGGTTTTACGCTGACAGTTGTTCTCACCATTTATGTATGATGGGAAAACTCAATTGAATCCTTGTGTACTTCGTAATGTTGTTTGTTGTGGTTTATAGGGTGGGTGTAACGAGAGGGGTAGTTGGTAATTTTACGTCGTGTCATCTGGTTGCGTGAAGCTGTTGAGGTGTGCATGTAGGAGGAAGTATTGTTTACCAGGTTAGATTTGATTTTCTCACGGCGGTAACTACGAAGATGGCTCTGTTGTGTGTTGATACGCAGGGTAGTCTGGTAGAAGTTTACCGACGTTTCAGAGGTGCTTGCCGCTATTATTTATTGCCTTCATTATGGATGCAGAAAGACATCTGATACGTCAGTAAACTTATGCTAGATAGTAAGATGGCACGACCCAGAAGACAGACATGTTACAATTGTTCTTATTTCCATATAATCTACACATTAACTGAATTGCTATCACCTGCTCAAGGAGTATGCTTATCCTTTGTCATGAGATCGTTATTAAAGGCTGCTAAACTGAATCACAAAACACAGTTTTGAAATAGTTTAAATTAAAATACGGCGCCCTTATGTGGGTACTCTATGCCATAATTAAATAGCGGATATAAAGTTTATATTGCACAGTTTTCTATGTAAAACAAGTGAGAGTCTTTCACCTGGAACAACATTTTTATAACACTTCAACATTGGAATTTTTATCTCCATTGCATGAACTCCTCTAACGCCTTCTTAATGGTTGTGGAAGATCAGTGAGAAGATTAAACGCATGGCATGATGAATGGTGTGGGCTGTTGACAGTTTGATGATGGCTATTTATGATACAGGTAATATTTACATTTTTTTCTTTAGTAAGAAACTTTCCTTAGTTTAAATTGCAAATACAGTATTTTGGCTTAAGTAACTGTTCTTCTCTCCACTCTGGCTTCACATCTTTAAATTTAAACACAAGAGTGAGCAATTTTTCAGTAGAAGTGCATCTAATATATCATGTACCATTACTTACAGTTAGACTATATTATTGTTGCATATGTAAAGTATTGGCGAAACTGTAAACGAACTTATGATATTTCATGAACATTTTCTACCGAACCTTAACAATTCTTTCACTCCTGTTCAAGGCACTGTAATTTTAAGTAGTTCTTTTTTACTATTAAAATTATGTATTAAGAATTTTATTTTTTCGAAAAGTCACATAACCCATATATAAAATATTTATTGATACAACAAACTCGATTGGAATCATAACCACACGATATTGCTTTGACTATACAAGATCCCCCAAGTTCACTTCTAAGCAGTAACCTGCTCACGCCAGACCGCCAGTTAGTTGTCTTTCAGCAGTCGCAGTGCAAATATGTCTTTTTCGCAAGTGCAGAGAGTGTTCGTTGTCTACCACTACACGGAAATTCCTTCTACTTAACTTGTCAAAATGAGTTTAGGGATACATTTTCTGATTCTCCTGTGCTAAACAAATCGACAATATCTCGTCTGGCGAATCGTTTGTCACTGCAGAAACTGTTTCATGCATCGGTGGATGTTTACAACACCTAATACAACTTCGTTTTCTGTTTTCTGATTTCAAAATAATTTATTTATTGGCAAATAGAACATATGTCGGGAATGGGTTGTGTGGCTTTTCGACCACTCTGTAAAACTTTGTTAATCTACTTTAAATCAGTTACTTTTCCTTTGCTGTAGTTTCTTGATTTGATATTCTTGCTGTGATTTGTGTGGTGACCACAGCAGCGGGAAGTTTTAAGTAGCAGAAAGTAATCCGGCATTTAGATCCTGCAAAAAATTACAAAAAATTGTTATAAACATTAGGTCTGTTTCTTTAATTAGAATATGTACTTAGCAAAACTCATTTTGTAATCAGACAATATATATCAGTGTTCGTTCAACATTTGCTCTAAAATTTAATTATAGCAAAATTCCTACTGTTCTAATAAATTTCTGTCGCTTTGTTTTATGTTTCTATTACTTCTAAAACCATTTCAGTCTAATAACATTTGAAAGCATGAATAATTTCCGTTCATTTTGTATTTTGTGGTCATTTCAGTTCTTAACGAACACAAACGTTGTTACGTTTATTAAATTCTCTTAAAGGGTGAACGTTAAAGAGGATATAACGGAGTTTTATACTCATGTTATGTGAACAAAATGAGGAAAACAGTGGTTTATTTGCAAGACAATTAACACATAAGCACTAATATTTATATTTTTGTTTAGTAACCTTTACAATCGTGCATATTTAACGTTTAAGTGAATTAAATACAGTTATATTAAATGTATAAGTTTTTATGTAATTGAAGAATTAGATTTTTTATGAGACTTTTGTACTTATGCGTTAATAGGAACATTCGAGTACGTCACTTAATATGAAAGTATAACTTTGACAGATACACTTAATGTAATTTAAAGTAATTAATCATAGATATTTTTTGAAAGACTGTATGGAAATAAAATAGGCCTGCCATAACGATTTTAATGGCTCGAAATACTGAAACAAAGAACATTTACTCCCATTTGCAGACGGATCGCAGAACATTTTCGTGGCTGATGCTCCGCCCGACACCACCGGATATCACCGTGCACCTGAGTCCAGTTGGTCCTTTGTCGATATGAATCCGTGGCGACGCAGCTTTTGCGATGATTGGTGATGACGAAACAGAAGAATTGCTACAACGCAGCACTAGAATATCTACCGTTCACAAGACGGGTACTACTTTATAAACAGCCTGCAAAAAAAAAAGCTGTTCCGCATTGGAACAATAAGACAGTGAACAAATTGTGTTTAGATTTTGTGACTAGATCGTTGCAAATTGTGGGTAAAGTGCAAAAGGAATTTGTGGGGGTTTAGCCGGGCAATGATTATGGGAAAAACTCATCACAAACATTTTGTTACATTGTGTACTTTAAGAATGGTAACTGTACTTAATTTCGTGTTTGATTCTGTACTTGTGTGAAAGATATTTTTCATTTAAAATTTTAACAGGAAATTTGAATTCATTCTCACAAAAGTATATTCAATATTAAGCTGTTAAAAGGTAATATCGTTTCCATTCTTGTCGATTTTGTTTCGTGTAAAGTAAATTAAAATAATATTATGACCATGACATGTTTTAATATACCTAAGGGTAAGTGGTTCAGTAATAACACTGGTCATGGTAAGTGAAAACCACCTGGTTAATATTTTAGTTTCAAACATATAATACTAATAAGGATTAATTTAAATCCATCAGACTTGTAAATATTTGAATAAATTAGGAGTTATGATATTATGTCACTCCTCCGAATCTAAAATATTTGTATGGATATTCAATTACTTCATCCCTCGATATGTGAAATATTTGTATGAAATATTCAACACAAAACATAGAAAGCCAGGTCAGGAAGTACTAGTTCAATATTATTTTAAAATGATACGTGGCAGATATCCGTTGTATTACAAAATGTGTACTCTCTTCTACTTGTGTGATAATTCAAAGTTTATATACGTAAAATGAATTCAACAGCAAACGCATTAGTCCAGCTGAAGATACAGCATTGATATTATTAGGTATGTAATTTAAGAACAACGAAGGGAAACTGGCGGATTAAAAGTTTTCTGTGCTATGTATAGCATCCTTATCGTGTTCATATTGTCATTAGCTGCAGTAGTCATGAGAAACTTACACGAAGAGTCAGCCATACTACTTAATCTTAAACAGCATTGTTGCTATTAATAATAGTGATAGGACTCAGTATACGTAAATATACAATTAAACGTCTCAGTGTTTGTTGTATGTTGGGAAAGTCTCCCATTCCAGTTGTGTGCTATTTTTTGTTTACTTTTTTCTCTTGGAGATTTGTTTTTAAATATATTGTTAAAATGTTTTTGTTGCTTACATGTTGCTCAACGTATACAAGTTTTTTCAACTCATGTCAACTATGTGTGTTATTGTATGTGTGTGATTGTAATTTATTTTAATAAAAAGTCACAAGTTTTGAACATAACCCACATAATAGTTATTTCTGGTAGAAGTAAGTTGACATATCACTTAGCAAGAAAATCGAATCCAAACTGGGTAAATGTTATCAGGTCATATTATAATATCTGTAATTTCACATGTGTAAATACGTCGAGCTTGTTTTAATATTAAACGCTAGTCGCGATGTTCCAAAGTCTAAATTATATAAAGGTTTCGTTCCAAGAACAACATATTAATCAGTCAAATGTTTTGAAACTGTGTCTCGTTTCTAGTCATAAAGAGATGTAATACCTTTGCATTTTAGTGCATAGGAATGCCTCCAGTTTTATTTCTCTCTTAATTAGTTTTCTTAAAATTAAAGTTTTCTTGGAATATTTGTTAATACAGCCACTATTAAAACCAGTTATAATGAAAAGAATTATTTTCGTAAATGCAAAATTAAATGTTGGAAACGAGAGCATACAGTTGGATGTGAAGACAGCGTATTGAACCTGAGGAACTCGGCCATGTATTTAGTTGCAATTTCATTTGCAGTAACTTTCAGCTGAAACAATCGCTCGTGTTCCATCGAGAGCTCCTATAAGTCGAAAAACATAGCTCCATACGACAATATGGCCTGTAAACTCCACGAAATAAATTTAAACCTAAATTGACTTCATGTTATTTGGTCGCTCTTAGTTTTCATGGGCATTATAACGGCAAGTTTCTTCTTGTAGAAACGTATAGACACAATAAAACTTGAAAAGTCACATACAAAATGTAAACCTATTTATATTAGAATGTGGAAGGGGTGATTTAGAAAGTTTGGGGAGAGATGGTTTAGAGTGGTATGAGAGATCGAAACTGGCATTATACAGAGTGTGGTTATATATCATTAGTAAATCCGCACAGTGTGATTAATGGCAGAATGTGTGTATATGTGTGTAGGCCTATTCGTGTATAAATCCGCGTATGTACTCTGTAGTTTGTCCTCGCCTGTGTAGGCAACGCGGAGTATACGTATATACGATAGAAACTGGCGCCTCCACCTGCAGAGACCATCCCTCATTGGTCAGGAACGTCGATCCCTTTGCCCCTCCTCATCACTATGTATAATTCTCCCATCCTCCGACCCCTTCTATAACAACCCCCCTGCGCGTTCGACCGCGTAATCTACGTGGATTAGAGGGTAGCTGTACCACCCTCAACTCACACCCTACTCAAAGCCTCACCTCACCCTATTTCCAGGGTCATGTGCTCTCAGCATGCGTTGAACACAATTTCCAAGGGATGCTGGAATCTAATTTCAAATTAGTTGTCGTTTATGCATGCTTATGAATGAACTTGGATCTAAAAAGCACTGATTTCACTGATGTAGTAGGCCCATGAATGAGGATTTGCATTAGTATGGTTCTGTGTTGGCTCACTTTATTGTATTCCACATGATTATTGGAGGTCAGAAATAATATAAAACTTTTAAATTATATTAATAAATAAACTATATTTGTGTTAAAGGCACAAAATAGTAGGATGAGTAGTGTAAAATTATTCTTTTGGAATTTTTCGGTCGTCTAAATTGCTGCTTCCGTCTTTAGGGAGAAAAGGCGTAAGTGAACAGAAAGTGTGCCTGTTGAGCCTTCTGTTGGCTAACTCAACCAGCTATCACAGTTGCCACCTTCAGGATGAATCTGTAATGGCGGCATTCTGGTAGTCTCGTATAGGTGGAAAGTTGGATTTTATGTTGATGATAGCTGGAGTGGAAGAATGGGCGGCTATCCAACAGGAGACGAGGATGTGGCAGATAAAAAGAGGTGATGAGAAAGTTGTACATTAAACTCCATCCGCGAAAACCAAAGGACTAGGTACTTTGTACTCTGTGTGATATAATCGTTGTGCTATTTAGATAGAATCTCGAAGATACATTTTGGTGGTAGAAAATAGTCTTGTAACTAAACCTTTATTTCTAAATATATTGAATTTGTCACATTTTCTAATTACTTATTGATTCTCTTCATATTATAATTTAGGAGACATGGACGTGCAGTTACTTGGTTCTCGCTGAGTAAACGTATACTTTGACACCTTTACGCATGTCTTTAAAAACAGGAATAAACAACTCTCAGTTTCAGCGCGGCGATGAATGAGCGATAAGTGACGAGTGATTTTTATATCACCGTATTTCCTGTAATTATTCATTAAGTCATGTTAAGTTCTCGCATGCAGTCGTATTTGACACAACTGCAATGCAATGTTCCCAGTATTATTGATGAGGACAATTTTTATTGCTTATTGGGCGTAACGTTGAAACCTGTTTTACTATGGATGAGCTCTCAGTGCACTATGATTATTTATGAAGAAGGATTTGAAACATGAAGTGGTGCTTGTTCCAATTCTGAATGTACAGACCGTTTAAATAACATACAGCTACACGTTAGTGAAATATACTTCAGCAATGAACACGGGTGCAGATGTAATCCTTCGACCTATAATGTCATAACCCAATCAAAATTTTCACTGCCATTCGATCTTCAAATCTCATATTTCGTGCGGAATCTTCTGAAAAGAAATAAGAAAAAGTGAGTTGGAAGTAAATTAACACGTGGTATCAGCAAGGTATTTGATCTGTGAATAGGGTGTCCCTTATTTTGGTTTGGTTATACATTCTCTTAATGATGAGCTTAAAAATCTGTAATCCTCCCCCAATATTTTAAATGTGATTAAGTCAAGGGGAATAGGGTGGACAGGGCATGTGGCGCGCATGGATGGGGCAAGAGGCGTGCACTGGGTATTGGTCGGGAAGCCTGAGGGGAAGAGACCGCTGGGGAGACCTAGACGTAGATGGAAGGATAATGTTAGGCGGAATCTATGGGACATAGGAGTTGAAGGAGACTGTATTTTGTTGGCCCAGGACAGGGTCCGGTGGAGGGCTTTGGTTAATTCTGTGATGAACTTTCGGGTTCTGTAAGACATCTAGTTAGTTATTTATTCTGTAAGAACAGTAATAAATACAAAACATGTTTATTTTGCTTGCCGATTCCTACCGCTATCAAATAGGTTAAAAGACTGTGTTTATGGATTATGGTTAGAGTGAGATGCTGTATGAGATTTGAGGTTCTCACTGCGATGAAGATGATGGTGTTGTTCTTATGGGTTATGACGCCGTGTAGACAAGTAATGAGATAACCATCATTTCGGAGAAACCTCTTTACTTGGCATAATAACCCAAAGAACGTTGTCGTTTTGTGATTATGATTTCACAGAACATGACATTAAAATTGCTCAGTTCATCTTGTAGAATATAATACTCCATAGTTCTGCCTACGTTTGAATATTTGCTTTTCCTATCATTAAAGTCTACATCACGAAAATCAATTTTTCCTATTGAATGTGTCCACTCCGAAGAGACTGAAATTTCTTGGAATGCATATTTCATATTCATTTCCATTTGTACGTTTTACTTTCCTATTGGTTACAGTAATTCCCTAAACAATTTGGACATGCTAATTTCGTACAGACTGATCACGATCAGGCCTTTGTACCACTGCTCTGCGTTACATTTTGTGGCTGAGTGTATGTAGAAACATTCACGATGCTACGTCTGTTGTCATGGTTTTGCTGCTGATTTGTTCTTCATCAAAATTTGAAACGTTTTATGTGTGTGTGTGTGTGTCTGTGCGCGCGCGCGCGGTTTCTGCAGGGATAATCACGCTAGATGTCAGCACCGCGTGATCGATTGTCGGGTCCGGCGAGGCATGGCGCTGTGAGATTTGATAGATGACCGGGGGCTCCATGTTTATAGGTTTGATTTTAATGTGGGCTAACCAAACGTTGCGTGAGTTCTGCAGAGATAACTCAATATTTGTCCTGCGGCAGCTGCAGCGTGTTGCTACAAGCAGAAGAAATGAACAGTCAGTTGTTGATTTCTGTCATTATGTCACAAGAAATACATTTATTCTGAATTTATTTTATATCTTTCAAGAATCGCTTTATGCTTTTGGTTGGGATATGTTCGAATATCACATAATAACCTTTAATTTCTAGCCCAGATTTTATAAACTGCAGCGAAACATTCTTATTAATAAAGGAAATCTCTCATAAAATGTTGATATAATTTTGGATTTAGGGTTCTCACGGCTGCACATATTAAAATGTTTGTCCTTTTAGTTGTTGCACCGTGAAGTCCGGAAGAATATTGCTGCTTGCTGCCTCCATCGTCAGGTTTATGACGTTTGCCAGAGTACATGGCGCAACAACCCAGGACACGTGGTTGAGGCAGACACACTGCTTAGAGAAAATTATTTATGAGTTGAGAGGGTGAATCTGAGCATTAAACGGCACTGTCTTTAAATTTTATCAAAATATTTTACTTGGGCAAATCAGCCAGTGTGAAATTGTCGCATTAATTTCGCAACATTTAATAAAATGTCGAAAGAAATTGCCTTATCCAAAACGACAAAACTGAAAATACTGCCCCCGGACTTTTACCTTTTACTTTCACACATACACCGCTGAAAAAATTATGGTAATAAGTAATATATGGCATGTAAGCAAATGTTTATTTTTTGTGGTATCGGCTGAGGTGTCGTAGTGTTGCTAGGAGTCACATAAAAAGTCACTGCAGAATTCTTTCAAACCAAGATTATGTGTCTCGTTTCATTTCGCAGTCTGGTGGCTGAGGTCATATCGATAAGATTATCTGATTCAATTCAATTCAATTCAATTCTTTATTATTTGTGTGCTGTATCAACAGCCTGATGGCCAATTACAGATACAGCACAGAGATGAGCTCATGAACACAATAAATGTATAAAAGATAAAACAAGTAGTATATAAAATACATTGTTACGGAGGACATAAATACACAATAAAATTGCAACTGAATATATTAGGATATTTGTAAAAATAATTTAAATCAATTAAGTAAATTATACTATTATAGAATGAGAAGAAGTGTGACAATTTTCGTCTCGAATATGTCCAAATCCCTGCAGACAACAGCAGCTGATGCGTATCTAGCAGAAGGACTGTTTCTGATCAAAGGGCTAA